ACCAGTGGGGATGACCTCGAGCTCCTTTCTTGACGTCCCTTCACGAACCTCAGGAAGCGCCGCCATGTCCACACCCACCCCGGAGTGAGCACGCGTGGAGAAGGTTGTGGTCTGCAGCTTTGATCACGTGTGAGACTCACAGCCCAGCCCAGCGCCGCCTGAGGTCAAACGTGCTATTTACAGGGTTTCATGCAATACCCAGCCTTCCCATCACGGCTCTCCACAGCGGCACTTCCAAGAGGAAAACGTACAAGGAACAGGCCTCGCAGACGGTCACTCTCACAGTCGCCTGGAGGGACACCGGAGACGCAGGAACCAGTGCCCAGAGCATGAATATGGAGAGACGCCCACAGCGCAATGGAAGAGGGGGCGTGTTTAGAATAAACGTGAGAGACAAGGACCATCATTCGCTTGAGAGAGATAGGTCATTCTGACTCGAGGGCGCTTGGCACAATTTGCCCCCATCTCGAGAGCTGGGCATGCCCCTGGGGCTGGGCTCGCCCGCCACAGTGCCCTGGGCACCGACCGCGGCTGCTTCCCCCAGGCCCTGGCCGTTTGCCTTTCCCGGGGCTGCTCCTGTGAGGAAGGGAGCCGTCTCTCACCTGTGGTGAGGTAAGTGGCACCTTTTTTTATTTTATTTTTTTTTAAACAAACATATTAGACAATGTTTACGAAAACACACAAGGACTGGAGCATCTATACTAATAAAAGGGTAATATGCTAATTAGACCGGGAGACCTTCCAGATAAAGCCATGGTGGCGGGGATGAGGCAGAAACGGTTAAGGTTAAGGGTTATCAGGTCGGCAGGGAGGAGGGGGGGCAGTTAGGGGTGATCAGGCCAGTGGCGGGGGGGGGGGGCGGGGGGGTTGGGGGAGGAGGCTGGCGGCAGCCGGGGGGTGATCAGGCAGGCAGGTCAGTGAGTGTTAGGAGCCAGCAGTCCCACATTGCGAGGGGGATGTCCGACTGCCGGTTTAAGATTGGAGAGAGTGCAGGCCAGGCTGAGGGACACCCTCCCCTCCGTGCACGAATTTCTTTATAAACTAGTACTTTATAAACAGCCATATCAAGCACAGAAGAGAAGAAGGGGGTCAAGTTTCTGGGGATCTTGCCAGTCCCACACGTAGTTCTCTCCCGCAGAGTGTGGGTGGGAAAGCTGACCAGCCCAGCCGGGGTGACAGAGAAACGGCACGATGGCTGGAGGGAACCGAGTCCTCCTCATTTGTACAGACAGGAGCAAAGCCCCCCAACCCTGCTGGGCAGAGAGCTGCTGTAACGCAGGCCCCTGGAACGGAAGAAGGACAGAATGAACAGGACAGAATCAGGACAGAATGAACAGACGGGCACGCTGCAAAGGGCCATTGTACCTCGGACTGACTGGGTCACGAGCTACAGCAACCCAGAGCTCACCCTCCGCCCCCAGCCCTGCCTCCCCTCCCGTGAAAGATGCTCTCTCTGCTCTTCCCTCGCCCCAGCACCTTCTATCCTAAGGACTGGGGTGCAGTGAGCTCCGTCCCAGACACCGTCTCCCTGGAAAGCTGAGCACCATCCTTAGTTATCAGGCGGAAGAGCTGGGAGACACAGGGATGGTTCTCCCCCATTCCCCCCCAGGATTCCCCTCTTGGCGCTATGCAGAGACTTCTGGCTAATTCTATGGCGCACTTGGATTTCTGCGCCATTCACGTTCCCTCCAGATAATCCCCAGGGAAGCTACACCTGACAGCCACGACACCGGGATTACAGCATTCCATGAACACTGGGCATGCTCTGAGAAGATTCTCCTACATCATGAGAAATCACAGCGTAGACTGGAGGTCACACTTTCCCTGTTTTTAAGATCTGCTTTTGGTTTTCATATGTAACGCATTTCTCTCAGTACCAAGGTCACGGGAGAGCCTCCATATTTATGTTCTTACTCATCGTACGGGCCACAGGCCAACACGGATTCCTACCTTTAGACTTGGTTACACAAATGACTGGGTGTGAGCACCTTATAGGAGCCAGTCAACGACTCAACAAACGGGAGTTCCCACTGTGTGCCACGCAGGGCCAAAGTCCGACAGGAACAGCTCATGTCAGGGCTCCGAGCTTCAGGAAACATTAACTATGTGGCTGAGGTGAGATTCCAGTTGCCTGGAGTCCCTGCCAGGAGGAGTGTCCTTTGACTTCCTACCTGTCTTTTGGGGAGCATCGTCTGACACGAATGAAAGGACCAAGGATTCTAACCCTGCCAAGACTTCCCCCCTCATAGCCCAGCACCTCCACTGGGTAGAGGGGTCGCTGAGCTTGTGCCTGAAGGACAAGGAGCAAGAGAAAGCCGAGGCCTGCGGTTCTTGGGGAGTTCTTAGTTCCTGGGACATAGAGCCAGAAGCGCTCCCTTCTCAGGAAACTGCAGATCGAGGGCCCTGCCTGGGCAGCCGAGCATGGCACTGGGGGGCAAGTGCTGTCTGACGGCCTGGTGTCCATACCTGGCTCCAGCCGCTGGGCCACCACTGCCTCCTGCAGCCTGCTCAGCCCTTTTCTACCCGCCCATCAGGACTTCCTGCTTATCTGAGCCTGTCCCCGCCCCCACACCTTTCTCATGCTGCCCCGGGGTACCCTTCCTTCTCGTCTCTCTGCTTTTCCAGTTCACAATATACATTCTGTCGGTGCCCTGAAAATGTCATCAAGGGATCTTTCATGCATCACACAGTCAGAGCTTTCTCTCTCCCCTGAGTCCCCACACATTATCTATCATCCAGGACCAAATTTTAACTGGCACACTAGTCACCTCTTTTCATCTGTTACCTGCCCTACAAGGGAAAGGTGCTAGGATTCAGAGCCCAGGTCTTACTGACAGTCTTATTTCTCGCATCTCACCCCTAGGTAATTCTGTGGTTTTGACACGGGGCTCTGCACAGCGCCAGAGTTCCGGACAGGCGTGCTGACCCCCTGGTGGGGCGGAGAGCACTCTGGACAGGCTCTGGGGCTCCCGTCAGGTGGGTTTTTATTTTGTCTGTGGACTGTGTTTGCTAGGAGTCCTTTCCTTTAAGGATCCTGCTGGAGGCAGGGGAAACCACCGCAGTAGGTACTGTCCAGTAAGTGAACAGAATCCCACCCATCGCCTCTCATGCTTTCTCCCTTCAGACCTAATGGAAGCCAACAAGCAACAATGAGCAGCAAAGGTTCAGAGCGCCTGTCCGCCAGAGACTGTGGTCCGGACCGAGGGCCCTCTCTCCTCTCCGATACTGACCTCTCCTGCTCGTCGTTGAGAGGGGCCGTTTAAGAGAACCACCCTGGCTCCTGGTTCTGTTGTGGTGTGTGTGTGTGTGTGTGTGTGTGTACATAAGCACACCCACTGCACTTTGGTCTCCAGGGCACTTCGGGGATGTAGGTGAGATACAGATTATGCTGACGCCTCCTCCCCCACAGATAAATCTACTTCCTTCTCAGGCTGCTCTGTCACTATGATTGGCACTAACCCCCACTGTGCTGCTCAGGCCAAAAATGGAGGAGTTTTCCGGGGTGCCTCTCTTTCCTTCACTGCCCACATCCACTTCATCAGTCAGGACTGTCCACCTCTACACCCTGCTCCCAAGCAGCTCCTTCCTCCCTGCCACCCTCTGCGACCAGCCTCGGAGCTCAGGGAACCCCCCCCCCCCCCCCATCCCTCTGGGGCTGTCAGCGCCTCCTTTTAGGCTCCCGGCTCCTGCTCTCTCCTCCGTATGATCTATTCTCTGCACAGCAGCGAAGACCATGTTTAAATCTCTCCTATTTAAAAAAAAAAAAAAAAGATATATATATTTACTGATTTCAGAGAAGGGAGAGGGAGAGAGAGATAGAAACATCAATGATGAAAGAGAATCATGGGTCAGCTGCCTCCTGCATGCCCCACACTGGGGAAAGTGGAGCCCACAACCCAGGCATGTGCCCTGACCGGGAATCAAATTGTGGACCTCCTGGTTCATAGGTTGATGCTTAACCACTGAGCCACACCAGCGGAGGCATAATGATGTTTTAAAATTTTCAGCATCCAAGTACATACAATTTTCATAATTTAACTTTGTCAACTTCTTTTTTTGCAATTCTTTTTGCTTTGCATTTACTTTGGTTTGCTCTTGGAAAGTAATTTAGAGGGACTATGTGATGTCTTCTGGATGAATTAAATGATTAAGTTATAAACAAACAACACCCAACACCTCTCCTATTAAGAACTCTCAAAGAAGTTCTCTTCACGCACAGAGTAAAACCGTGCCTGGTAAAACGTGCAAAGGGAGGTGCACTTTTTATCTCCGTAAAAATCATCCAGCAAGCTCTGATAAATCACTCTAAATTCGGCAAATCGGCTGGTTCTGAGCACCTTCGCTCGGGCAGTTAGCCTTTCCTCAGGAAGGAACATGAGCGAGTGGGGTACCGTCCAATAAATGAACAGAAACCCAGAAACTGTCCAGTGAACGAACAGAATCCCACCCGATGCCTCTCGTGCTTTCTCCTTCAGACCTAACGGAAGCCAACAAGCTACAATGAGCAGCAAAGGATCAGAGCGCCTGTCCGCCAGAGACCGTGGTCCATCCCGAGGGCCCTCTCTCCTCTCCGATACTGACCTCTCCTGCTCGACGTTGAGAGAGGACCCTCCAGCACTGACTGAGTTGGGTTAAGGGTTTAAGGGGCTTAATCACAAGGAACAACAATAGCCTGTAATTATTGGAATTGAGAGTCTAGGACTTTAAGAGAATCACCCTGGCTCCTGGTCCTGGTGTGTGTGTGTGTGTGTGTGTGTGTGTGTACATCAGCACACACCCACTGCACTTTGTGAGTGTGTGTACATAAGCACGCCCCCTGTACTTTGTGTATGTGTGAGTGTATGTACATTGTGTGTGTGTGTACATCAGCACACCCACTGCACTTTGTGTGTGTGTGTTCATCAGCACCCCCACTGCACTCTGATCTCCATGGCAACGGGCCAGGAGGACCAGCGCATCCCTCGCCTCTAGGGGAAACAGGGGGGGGGGGGGGGACTTACGGCTTCGGATTTGGGCGGCACCGGCGGCGGCGGAGGTAGGGCGATCTCGGCGGGCGGCACGGCGGCTCCCAGCGGCCCAGGCCCGGGCAGCGGAGCGGGCGCGGGCGCGCCTGCGGCCCGGGCCGGCCCTCTGGGCGGCGGCTCGCACCGGCTCCTCTCGCTGAGCGAGCGCGCCAGCGGCGGGCGGCCCTCCTCCAGCCACAGCTCCTCGTAGGGAAGCTCCGGCTTGGCGGGCACCCCCGGGGGCTCCTCGCTGGATTCGGGGAACAGGTAGTCGCTCCCGCTGTCCCCGGGAGGGTCCTGATAGGGCAGGAGGTGATCGTGCGGAAACGGGGCCCACTCGCCCCCCAGGTTCCTGCAGCCGTGCAGGTTCACCTCGCTGTTGCCGTGGAGGTTGTTGCCATAGACGCAGACGGAGAGGCGGTGGAAGGACTGCGTGAGCTCGTCGCGCGCGTAGCTGAGCGCGCTGGGCACGTGGCCGTGGCCGTGGCACCGGCCCTTCTTGGGGCTCTTGCAGTCCTCGCCGCTCCAGTCGGTCCTCACGTCGCGGACCGCACGGGAGTACTCGTCGATGTCGACCTGCTCCTGGCACACGCCCAGCCAGTGGTGCACCAGGGCCTCGGGCCACGGCGCGCCCTGGCCGGGCGGCTCGGGCAGGCTGAACTTGGGCACCGCCAGGTGCAGCGGGAAGTGCATGGGGAGCACCTTATTGCTGCGCAGCACGCAGCACACCACCACCGTCTTGGTCTGGATGTTCACGAACTTGTAGCGATGGCCCTCGCGGATGGAGTGCAGGTCGTAGGGGTTGCGGGGCGGCGGGCTGGGCACGGTCACGTTCACGGGCAGCCGCGTCCGCTCCACGATGTTGCGGATAGTGTGCTCGCCCTCCTGCATCTGCAGCTCCAGCGGGCTGCGCGTGCTGAAGCGGCCCTTGCACTGGAAGGGCAGGCTGATGCTCTCGTTGGTGCGGTGGTTCATGCAGATGAGGCAGGGCATCTTGCCCTTGCCCAGCCGGCTGATGGAGTTGAGCTTCCCGATCTTCTTGAAGATGGTGTTGAGCCGCGACTTCTCCTTGAAGGTCTTGGCGTACAGGATCTCCGCCTGCCCCATGAGCGTGAGTTCGTCGCCCGTGCACAGCGTGATGTTGTACACCTCCGTGTCCTCGTTGCACTCCCCCGACGCCACCTGCAAGGCCAAGCACACAGCAGGTCAGCTTCCCGCTGCCCGGTCACCCTGGGAAGCAGAGGGCTTGCCTCCTGAGACACACACAAAGGGCGGGAGGTTGTGGTTTGGGGTAGCATCAAATGTAGCCACTCCATTTAAAAAATATTTATGTGGCCCTAACTGGTTTGGCTCAGTGGATAGAGTGTCGGCCTGTGGACTCAAGGGTCCCAGGTTAGATTCCGGTCGAGGGCATGCACCTTGGTTGCAGGCACATGCCCAGTAGGAGGTGTGCAGGAGGCAGCTGATTGATGTTTCTGACTCTCTATCCTCCCTCTCTGTAAAAAAAAAAAAATCAATAAAATATATTAAAAAATATTTATGTGGCTGATGATCACAAGATGACGTTGGTTTAGACTTTTAAACATATACTGTGTTCTGAAGAGAAAGGAAATCTGTGCACTAATGAAAATGAGGGAAATATAGAGGCATGAGGCAAAAAGAAAAGAACCCATGAGCCGAAGGCACGGAGAGCGATGGCGAATGGTTTGCTACAGACCCTTGCAGCTTCTTTTCCTATCCTGTGGATCCTTATTTTAGGACATTAATATTTTTATTACATCTTTTTCCAGTTATAAAAATTGCTTTCATAAACAACCACTATAAAACATTCCTTTTTTTTCAATAAGGAGGTGGTAGAGTAAATTTTTAAAAAGTCCTTTATTAAAAACTATTGACATTTTACTAAATTTTCTAAAATTGGATTTGGGACAGATGCTCATTGGAAGAAATACAAAACTGAACTAAGTTGATACAATCTTACCACTAAAAATAATCTATGCTAGCAATTTTACATAAGTAGAAATTAAAAAAACAAAATTACCTCAGAGATATAAATACACATGCACACAATTTTGTTCCTGAGTGTCTCACTATAATTTATTCATCTTGTCATATATACATACATATACCATCAATTATCAAATTAAAGTGACACAGGCCATTATCTATGGTATGCCTTAGTTTATTTGACCAGTTCCTTATTGTTAGATGAATTTTCCCAATGTTTAGCATTATAATTAGCACTGCAATGAACTTTTAAAAATGTTTTTATTGATTTTAGAGAGAGAGGATAGAGAGAAGAAACATCATCTACTGGCTGTCTCCTGCATGCCCCCTCCTGGGGATTGAGCTCACAACCCATGTATGTGCCTTGACTGGGAATCGAACCCTCAACCTTTTGGTGTGCAGGTTGAGGCTTCAATTAACTGAGCCTTCTAGCCGGGGCTGAGATGAGGTTTTTTAAAAAAAATCATAGTAAAGTGTCTTTTCAATTCTAGTTCTCTACGTTTCTCCAAAGAAATACACATTTTTTAAAAACCAAACGCTATTTCTGTATTCAATAAGGTGGCTATATGTTTACTTTGAAAATGTTAATGCACTACTTTTAAAATAGTAGATTCCCAAATATTAAACAGCTCTACATGCCTGAAGTATTCTCCATATTATCATGCTGTTAAAGCTCTATGGCACAGTTCTCTGATAATATCTGATCTGTGATTTATGTGTTTTACAGGTGACATTAGTCTATAGTCCTATTATGTTATCTTTACGATCGACTTTTTTCTCTTACGTAAATAAAAAGGCGTCTGGGGAAAGTGACTGGTCAGGCTCATGTTGCTGACTGAGCAGTAATCATCAGTCCGTGTTTAGGAAACGAGTTGGTAACAGTCTTTGTAAACAACTTCTCACCCACTCCACTCTTCTTGCTCATCTCTGCATGATCTTAACCTTTGGAACAAGCCAATTGCCAATAAGAACAGTTCTGTGTTCTTCACGGAGCAGTTAATTTCTCTATAGGGGGCTTTATCAGTCCATAAATAGTAGCACACTATTGTTTCAAAGACAACTGAAGCTCCTAAGGTTTAAAATCCACTTTTGGTTACTCAATGGACTCCAAGTTAAGTATAATTAAAAAAAAAAAAAAAATATATATATATATATATATATATATTTTTTTTTTTTTTTTATTGATTTTTTTTTTCCCCCAGAGAGAAAGGGAGAGGGATAGTGCGGTGGGTGCCTCTCCTTTTTCCTAGTCCCACATGGAAAGGAAGAAGGACAGGTTCCTGAGTGGAGGAGCTGGGGATTAAGAAATGAAAGAAAGAAAGACAAGAGGCAGAAACAGATCCAAGAGCTGGGTGCCGAGCGGAGGCTGTCACTCTGATGGAGGGACAGGCAACACCCACCACAGACCACACAGCGCATTTATTGATTTCCAGAGGGGGGTTTGAGGTCAAAGAAGTGTTGGGTGTGCCCAGCTCCTATTCATCCCCTCATTCCTGGGATTTAGCATATCAAGACCTGGGTAAGTCAAGGTCCTTTTCCTTCCTCATTCCAAGCACAGGGATAAAGATAAGAAATCAGTACTGATTTCCGGGGGACGCCCATGCCAGTTACCTCTGACTCAGCTGACATTAATTTAAAGGTCATCCATGTGCATTCCCAAAGGGCCCTCTACAGGATAGAGAGTTAGAAACATCGATGAGAGAGAAACACTGATCAACTGCCTCCTGCACACTCCCCACTGGGGATGTGCCCGCAACCAAGGTACATGACCGGAATCGAACCGGAATCGAACGTGGGCCCCTTGAGTCCACAGGCCGACGCTCTATCCACTGAAACAAACCTGTTAGGGCTAAGTATAATTTTTAAAACTAAGATCTCTACTTAACTGGGCTTACTTTCAGGCTCAGCATTCACCTTGCCCTCACATGGGTCCCGGGCTTCTCTACACTGGAGTAAATTTAGGAATGTAAATAAATAAATAAATAGACGTATGTTAGTTTTTTATTAGAAACAATTGTGGACTTGCAGGGAAGTTGCAAAGGCAGTAAGAGAGTTTCTGTATACCCTTCCCCTAGTTTCTCCTGCTAATATCTTACATAACCCTGGAGCATTATCAAAGCTAAGTCATTAACATCGGCACAAGATGCTTAACTCAGCGACAAGCTTTGCTTGGATTTCACTAATTTCCCCCCCCCCCCCCCCCCCATTTCATGCCCCTTTATACTGCTCCAGTATCAAACCGGCATACCACTTTGTGCTTGGTCCTTGTTTGGTACAGTCTTGGCAGCTCTGAAGAATACAGGTTAGGTTACATTAAAGCTAATGAATAATTCATACATGACAGTATTTGGCACATATGAAGGCTGGCTCTTTTCCTGAAGCTTCGAGGTTTTTCAGGTTTTTTATTTTAAGCGTTCTTTGGTCACCAAGAATCCTTATAAAGATTTGTTTGCTATTAACTCTAACTTTTGATAATATTTGGCTTTTATTCTCAGCTAGCATCTCATTAAACTTATAGGATATAGATCAGAGGTCAACCAATACTGTTCAGGGTCCCAATCTTACATTACATTATTTATCACTAACTTTGTAAATAAAGTTTTATTAGGTCTTAGCTCTGCCCACTCATTTACGTAGAGCCTAAGATCTTTCACTCTGTGATGGTGCTGAGTAGCTGCAACAGTGATTGTACAGCCCACAAACTCTAAAATAGTTCCTCTTGTCTCCTACGGAAAAAGTCTGCTGGCCCTGCTGTAGGTACGTGGAAAGAACTATGGCCTTTGGAAAGTAATTGGTGCAATATATTAAAGGTACAGTGTTAGTAACTAGAGTACAGAACGAGTATGAATTCTGCCTCTACTGTGAGGCGACCTCACACGAAGTGTTTTACTTTCTTGAATTCCAGTCTCCTCATCTGTAAAGAGGGAATATCGTCATCTACTCTGCAAGGCTGGATCAGTGTATGCTCTCAATAAATAGTGACTATTACTTTTACTTTTATTAATAATAAAACACGTTAGCTCTGGCCAATGTGGCTCAGTTGGTTGAGCACTGTCCTGTGAACCACAAGGTCGAAGGTTCGATTCCTGGTCAGAGCATATACTTGGGTTGCGGGTTTGATTCCTGGTTGGCGTATGTGTGGGAGGCAACGAATCCATGTTTTTTTCTCTCTCTCTCCCCCCTCCCTTTTTATCCCTCTTAAAAAAACAACAAAAACATATTTTAAAATAATAATAGAATAAAACATTTTAATCCTTCCAATTGTTTCATAATGCCTTCAACATCTTTGTATGTTCATGTTGGTTTCTAGTCCATTCACTACTGTTTTCAAGCCCAAACCACTACTTCTTCTTTTTCTTTAAAAAAAAAAAAATGTTTATTGATTTCAGAGAGGGAGAGGAAGAGAGAGACAGAAACATCAATGATGAGAGAGAATCATTGATCAGCTGCCTCACGTACGCCCCCTACTGAGGATTGACCCTGCACTCTGGGCATGTCCTCTTAACTGGAACTGAACCCAGGACCTTTCAGTCTGCAGGCCGACACTCTATCCACTGAGCCAAACCAGCTAGGGCAAATCAAATCACTACTTCTAAGCGTGATCCTTTCTTCTATATTGTGAATTGTTCGAAGTTCTGACTGTTATCCCGAATAAAACTTAATGTGAGAATAGGGCCTGAAAGATCATCACTGTGACACCTCAAAGGGAGGGGATGTGCTGTCTCCAGAATGCTCAGCCGCACTGCTCTGCTTCCTCTTCACTGGAACTTTTTATTTATTTATTTAATATACTTTATTGATTTTTTTACAGAGAAGAAGGAAGAGGGATAGAGAGTTAGAAACATTGATCAGCTGCCTCCTGCACACCCCCTACTGGGGATGTGCCCGCAACTAAGGTACATGCCCTTGACCAGAATCGAACCTGGGACCCTGCAGTCTGCAAGCCGACGCTCTATCCACTGAGCCAAACCGGTATCGGCATCACTGGAACTTTCACAGAACACGTGGCCGTCCGTGCATTTGGATCAGGATGGAGAGTGGGATGCGGAGAGGCAGGGTTCTCACCAGCCTTGAGAAACACACACATTCCCTCTCTCAAACACCACACTGGTTCCAGTTCACAGGAGCCAACAGCGTTTCTCCAATATGCAGAAACAACAACGTACGTGTTATTT